GCGACACTGGCATCCGAGCCAAAGGGAAGAGAACGTCGACGGATTCGAACCTAAGCTTCGGCAGTTATCTTGGTGCACTAGTTACTATTACATTTAGACATTTCTGCTAGAGATTCACGTGGCGCACGTGGCGATAGAAACATAAGTGGAATGTTAAGGCTATCCGGATTTTTATGAAGTACATATTATCATCGCATGCAGAAGCCGAACCACTATTTTTTCACGCTAATTAACCATTCTATCTTCTAAATTTTTAAACTCATAGGCTGTGATAAATAATTTTTCAGTTATAAAAAGATGATGTTTCTAAATGTGAAGTCGAAATGAATATTCTGTAATCGCTTAATTATATGCTTATTATATACTATTGCCGCGAAACGGCGGAAGCAAAAAGGCTATAATGAGATTCTAAAAATGGAAAATGGATTCGAATCAGCATTTGCCTTATCAACAAATTAATTACCTATCAATCAATGAAGAGGAAGAAGCAGTTTTCATGAGTTCAGAGTGGTGCATCATAGTTTAATGGCTTGTAAAATAGCATAAAAAATCAAAAATATAAAAAGGTGACACTCATAAAAAGAAAACCAATAGAGTACAAAGAAAATACAAAAGGGACCCAATAATATCGACGAATGGCCCAATTAAGAATATAACCTCCCTCCCCCGCCCTGAACTCTAAAAGGAGTTTGTGGGGACCGATCTTTTTGCTTTCGCCGTATCGTGATATTATTATCAAATATTATACACATTACTAACAGTAAATTTCAAGGATGCATGATAAAATGCAAAAAATTTCCTATAATATAAACAATTTCTAGTAAATAGTTGGAATTATTTTGACTAAGAACTTTTATTAATAGCAGCGATTCGCCATATAAATACGATCTTGAATAACTATATACGTACGTATATTATACGTCTATCCTACGTGCAATAGAAATAAATTGATAATTATGTGGCTCGTGACGAAAACTTCAAAATGCCAAAAAAGACTTCGTTTGATCAATTAAAAGTAATTATTCAAATATTGATCAGAAATTTATTCTAAAAAAAAAACGCTTAAATTATAGTAAATTTTTATTAATTGATAGCATATTTTCATTTATATTCCTTATCTTTTCGTTTGATTTGATCAATAATTTTTAATTTCATTGAATTTATTATTTGATAATTATTGTAAAAAATGAAAAGATTTTTTTTTTTTTTCTAAGATTATTTGAAAAATTTTTGAGAAGAGAAATTCTCGAGAAATAGAACCCCACTATTAATGCATCGAAATGAGAGCAAAAACCCGCTGAACCAATAAGTGAATAGCAAATCATCTGTCTAAATTATAGTTTTTAAATCCGTCTTATGGAAGTAATAAAAAAATTATTCCTCTAATACGAAAACTTTCTCCATCATTACTTTACCATTTTCCAATTAAAATTGCTTGATATTCTTTCAGAATATATTTTTAAAAGGCTTTTTGCAAATCTTAAATACTCTCTTGACACTCTCTATTTCCCTTCAACAACTCATTTAATCCTCCCGAAATTTCTTACTAACTCTTCTTAAATCTGCACATTAAATTTTAGCTTTTTAACATCTCTACTAGTAAGCACTTTTATTACTAATAAATCTTATTTTTATGCTCTAAAGTCGTCTATCTTTTACTTTTACCACGACTTTTATATTCGTACATAAAGCTATTAGTTCATAAAGGTTAGCATAACGAAAAATGACGAATATTTTGGATGAATAATAGAGATTGGGCATTTGGGACATCAAAAGTAATGCAAATAAAATATGAAGCAATGTTAAGAGCATAAATTTAACGAACTTTCAATAATGTGAAAGTCGATGTATTTATTCGGTTTTGAAGAAATTTCCACCTCTATGATAGGCTTTTTTATTTATAAATATAATCATTATATTCAATGATATGCTAAAATAAATATGCATAAAATATTTTATTAAGTGAATCAAACAAAGCTAATGAAGCGAAATCTTTCTTTTTTTTTTGCAAATTACAAGAAAAATATAAAAATATATGGACAAATTTTATTAATGCATGTTTTTACTTGAATTTCGCGAATTTCATTAGAAATCCTTTATCAAACTCCTTAACAAGTAATGCAAATTATGTGTTTTAATTTTTACAATCCGACTGATACTGGTGATTCACTAGTATTTCTATCGTCAAACGACTTCCTAGTATATTTGCCTAGTCCAATAAGCCTTTTGCTTAAAAACTTACAGCTAACAGCCAGTGGAGCCAGTCTACCTAGCATGTTTGCTTAGTGAAACAAGCTAACAGTTAAACCAGTCTAACTAAAAATATTGAACGATTTTTAACCATTTTTTAATGTTTAGTTTATAAGAAGAAATTTTTTTTTTTTAAGAGCCCTCATTATTACTGGTTAAACTGTTGGCTAGGCAAACATGCTAGGTAGTACCTCTTTGACGATAGAAATACAAGTGAGTCGCGAGAATTTTTTCGGTGATTTGAAGAAAATTTAAAAAAAAGGCATATTTTCTTGTATATTTTCTTTTTTTCAGGTAAATTTTTTGGTAATAAAAAATAAATAATAGAAAAAATTATTTTCGTTTTAGCAACGCATAACCAATCCGCTGGTAAATAAAGATTTTAATATGAAAGTGAAAAATGCTTTATTAAGCATGGATGAAAATGTTGTTGAATAATTTAATATCTAAATAATGTTTCAATTCAACAAACGCAAAAAGGACTAAAAAAATGAGAAATATTCAATTTTTAAATGATCCATATTATAGCTGATAAATGATAAATGACATATCCTAAATTCATCCGTTAATTCTTTTATTGAAGATTTCTTTTTTCAAAATTTTCAATTTTTTCATTACCCTCTTTCGCCGACCAATAAATTTCGATTTCATCAACAATGCGCTTCTTGTAGCATAATTCTTAGCATATTTCTTTATAAAACATAATTCTTTAAAAAAAAAAATTCAACTTAAAAAAATAAATAAAAAAAAATAAAATTCAAAATTAGGGATTTTTGGCGACGAATGTAAATATGGAATGGCTATGAAACGCTTAGCAATTATTTCTTCTTTTTTCCTAAATATCTCACACCCACTAAGAATAATTTTTATTATTCGAGAAAACAAAACGAAAAATGAAAAAAATGAAAAATGAAAAAAGAAAAAGCGAGAAAACGAGAAAAATGAGAAAAAGAAAAGAAAATGAAAAAAATAGGACATATTAGCCTACCGAAATTTTTTGGCTAAAAAAATGCCATTTAAAAAAGAGTCGATTAATTTCATATATTCGGCGCTTTCAATTAGTATTTTTTTCACTAATTGAATTGAAATGTGAATATTATTATTATTGAAAATAATAAAATAATAATGAAAATTAAAAATAATTAAAAAAAAACCAAATAAAATTAGTAAAGTAAAAGTAACTTGAAGACATCTCAAAATTTTTCAAGGCATCAGCAAGTTGATAAATTTAAAAATAAAGAAGAAAAATGAAAAAAAAATTGTCGAAAATCGAATTAATATTTTAAAAAAACTTTTTTTAAAATAAATTTACAATAGCCAAAAAATTTTTACGCCAAATTTCTTCAAAATTCTTTTTGGCACAATCGATCGCCTTCGATAAAAATTTCTGGAAATGGCTAATTTTATTTAAATTTAAATTTTTCCACATAATCATTTTTGTATTTTTTTGCATTTTTATGCTTATTTCTTGCTTGCAATACTTAGACATTTTTATTAGGCGAAATATGATGGGGGTGATAGTTCAGTGGGTTGTTATTTCTCTTTGAAGCATTGATGCTCCTATTCCTGGCACGATGGGCGTGTCTGGCAAATGTATCTTTTAAAAATCTGGGTAGTGCTGCCAATTCACCTATATTTCCATCACCACACGAACCTCTGGTAACATTTATCTGATTATCGAAAAGCCATAGCACGAAACTTAATGAGAATTAATTTTAGAAAGCAAATATTTAAATTACTTATAAAAAATGATTTGCATGACTAAAAAATTTGCTAAAAATTTATACATTTTGCTAAAAGCATTCCTATCACTTATTTCTTATTTTACTTTTTCAATCGTAGAAAAATAACGAAAATTAATTCAGAAAAAAAAAGTGAGTACAATTTTTATAATTTTTATAAAAATCTATCTAAAAAATCTATATAAATCGTTTTGCTTAATGAATATTAAGCAATCGTTAAATTATCTCTAAAATCTCATCGCCTTTAACTTTATTTATTTATTTATTTATCTTCAAAATTTTGGCGAAATGAAAAATTAATTGAAAATTTGTGAAGCGAAATATTTTTTTTCAAATGCTATTTTTCCCAATTATTAAATTTTTATTAAAAAATCTGTGAAAATAATTACACAAATATTATTTTTTCTTTTTTTTTTAAATAATATCTCTATTTTCGAAATAATTTATTTTTCTAAATATTTTCATTTTATTGTACATTTTATTCATTTTATGACAATAAATTGAGCATAATTTGCAATATAATAACCATAATATGGAATTTGAATAAAAGAGACAAAAAAAAAATCTGAAATATACAAAAATTTCTGATCAAATGTACTTCTCTGATTTCTGTTAGTAATATTTACAGTTGTTTTTTTTTTTTTTAAATCGAATTTATCGAAATTTTTCGTTAGAAAATTTGGCTAATATTAAATTTCAAGAGATTATAAATGATAAAAGAATTCTTATTTTGTTATTATTTTTATTATTAATTGTTATTATTTTTTCCAACATTTTTAATAATCCAAATTTATTTGTGTAAAATAGTATTTTTTAAAAGCCATATTTTTTGAATTATTATGAATTAGCAACTTTTTTATTTTTTATTTATTTTTAAAATAAATTAATTTATAAGAAGTACATATGATTCTAATAAAAAAAAACTAATAGAATTAATAAAAATAAAAAAAATATTTTATATAAGGAAAATAGTGAATTATTGTATAAATGAAGAGGAAATTGAAAGAGTTAAAATAAATTTCGCCTTTTACGCACAGATTCCGTAGTATTCTTCCTGGAAACGCATTCATTACTATCATCTTTTCCGTTCAATTTTAGTAAACTTGATAAGGCCATCAATTCTCGGCATATGTCCGATAATTGATGCTCAACGGCTGTCATTCGTAGCGATAGACTTTCTTGAGTCGAATGAACATCGTGTAATAATTCATAAGCATTCGATGTCGTCTAAAAAAATATAAAATAATCTAAAAATAAAAATAATGAAGTAAATTTTACGCTTATTTATAAGGAACTAATTAAAAATTTCTTTTGTTTTTTTTTCGTTAAATTTAGCTTCAAAAAAATATCAAAATAAATTAAAAATATCTTTCAAGCTTTTCAATAGAAATTTTTTAATTAATTCTAAACCTGAATTTTGGTTGAATTTTATTTTTCTTGAGAATTTTTTTCTTTTTTTTTTTCGAAATTTTCAATTCTACTTCATCGATGAAAAAGGGCGAGCTGTTTATCAACTCTGATTAAGGATTTCTCAGCTGGCTAATGGCTTGGAAATTAGAAATTCGTGCCAGGGAGCCCGTTGACGATCGAAGAACAGATATGCCGCTAGTATCACCACTAGCATATTTTTGGAGAGGTTTTCTCCTGCGGGGAGTAGAACCTCAACATCAGCGCACCAATAATATGCATTAAACTCGTTTAATGCTTAAATTTTATACCTTTGCAACATCGCCTAACGATACCAAATTTTCTGCCAGCTTTCGTTGGTCTCGTTTTACTCGGCGTAATCTAAATTATTATTGCTATTTTCAAAAAAAAACTTATTAATTCTTTTTTTTTTTGTTTTCGTTCCTGAATAATCAATCAGATAGCACACAAAATTACTTCTCAAACAATTCGTAAAAACAATCAAAAAATCCTAGCAATCTTTTTCATATTGTTAAACGAAATTTTTCTAACGAAATCTTTAAATTTAAAAATTATTCTAAAATTTTTAAGAATAAAATATTCTTCTAATTTTTTTCTAAATTTTTTGATAATATAATAAATAATTCAATAACTAACGCATAAATTGCGACAAGAAATTTACGCTGATGAAGTCGAACTTTAGCTGCATCAATCTTATCAACTAAACACCGATTTTTATAAAGAAGCCAAGTTTCTCTTAAAACATTCGCTGCACTATGTTTTAACTGAAAGCCATTATGTTTATGCCTTTATTTCATCAAATAAATAATATTTGCTTTGGATCATTTTGAGATAAAATTATTTTCATTATTTTTTATTTTATTATTTTTTATTATTTTGAATTTATTAAGCATTTTATAATTGGACAAAGGTTTTTGAAATTAAATGCCTGTGATTGAAATCCACTAGTGATATGATTAATTTAAATCAAATTGAAAAAGGTTTGGCCTGGTTTGAAATATTATATTCGCTTGTCATTGTCATAATTATTATGACTGCTTTATATTCCCTTTAAATAAATGATAAAAAACGAAATAAATATTAAATCGAAAGAATATAATGATAACCTGTTTAGTTAATTGTGTATCTAACATAAAATTATGCACATGTTTTTCGGCTCTTGAAAGCTCAAGCTTGCGAGCTATAACAGCAACGACCATTGAAGAAGTGCATGTTCCCTGAGGAGAATTTGTGGTTTGTACAGAAATCGCTCACAATAATTCTTTTCTCTTTTAAATATTATAAAAATATAACATTTGGTGCGTCAGTGGATTAATGGCAAAATTATCGCCGAGAATGAGAATTCAGATTTCAATTCTGCCCATATATCTTGCTTGTTAAATTGTGAAAGCAAAAAGAGATAAAATAATCAGTTGCTTCATTTTGGAGAGACGATATTGAATTTACAAAATGATTCTCTGGCCAAATTTTTCTAGTCTAATAAGTTAAAGCAATGAATCTAGCCAGGAATGGCGAAAATTCTTAGAAAAAAAAAGCGTAATAAGCTAAAATTTTAGCAAATTGCAACTAAAACTTACTAGCACTCCAGTAATAACTGCTACTGCTCGGCCACAATATGTGTTTGGTACAATATCTCCTAAAAAAATTTGGCAAAAAAATTTTCGACAACTATAAAATTTATTATTAAATTTTTTATATTAAATATTAAATCATAATGGAAAAATTAAATCTTTTTTGCGAGTTTCCTATATTCAAATTTTATATAGAAAATTTGCTCATATTTTCTCATTTTAATTATTTTAATGAGCCATTTAAAATAATTAATTTTTTTTTAAACCTTATTTACTCTTTTATTTGCCTTTCTTTGCCTTTAAATAATGAAATACGAAGAAAATTTACCGTAACCGACAGATAGAAATGTTATTGCAATTAGCCATAACGAATTTAGATAATTCTGATGTTTTTGTGCATGGAGATTTATTGGATCACCAGTATGATATCTAAAATAGAGCGTAGAATGATTCAGTGGGTTATTGCAGTGCCGATGCTGAGATTCGATTCCCCGCAGGAGTAAACCTGTGCAAAAATTCGGATGATGCTGGCGACTTCTATCGCCAAGAAGACTCCCTAGCAAATTCGCCTAGTGCGATAAGCCAGTGGAATGAGTTTAACCAGTTATGGTAATGGCTTTAAAAAAAAAAAAAAATCAAATATCTAAAATAAAATTCGATTATTAATTATTTGAAAAAGAAAAAATTCTTATCTCTTGGCTTATCATTTGTTGTACAATGAAATTTTGATATTTAATTAAAATACTTTAGTATACAAAATTACCTCTCACATAATCTTAGAATCCAACCTGCAATCACCCATAATGAAGCAGTGAAAATTAGCAACATTGTACCTATAAAATAAATTGATGAAAAATTCATATGCATAAGCGCTAAGCTAATTAGGAGAGGAAATTAACCGATAAGATTACCCTTACTTGTTATCATTATTTATCAGTTATCGAATCAATTAACGAATATATTAATTTATACCAGAAGTCGTTTAAAAATTTTCTATTAAAAATTGTCAACTTTTTTAAAATGAAAATCCATAAATATTCTGCTAATTAATTAACTGCCAAGTAAAGAGTTTAACTTCTCTTAATGTTGGCTTGTTTTATTACGATAAGTCCAGACAATGATTGATTGCAATAATCTTAAGACAAAAATTCAATGAGTGCAAACTTACCAGGGCATAATGTCATCAATGTTTTTACTATAAATCGTGCATTAAAATTCACCCGATTAAGACCAGCGATACTTCGTGAAGAAGCATCAGTGAATAACCTTAAAAATTCAAGAATAGGGGGCTTTTTTGCAAAAAAAAAATCCAGTTCTTTAAAGAATACGCAAATTTACGAATCTAAATCCTATTAAGGCCACGTAGAATAGATGAGAACAGTGGGTTATTGTTTCAATTTGAGTTGAACGCTGTTGCTGAGATTCTACTTCCTATAAGAGTAAACCTATCCAAAAATCCATGTGATGCTGGCGACTCATCTTGCATCAAGTGATGACTCGCTGGCATATAGTCTAGTGCGACAACTAAGTGAAGCGAGTCCAATCAGTAAAAGTAAGGGTTCTTTAAAAAAAATTCAAGAATACCTGCTATGAAGAAGCATAACCCTACAGAGCCAGTATAGGCGAAAAAACATTGGAATTGATAAGAGTGCATCAAGAGGTATTGTATTGGTTGAAATCTGAAAAAAAAAGGAGATATTCACGAAAGAATAAATTCCCAGTGAAAATTTATATTTTTAAAAATAGAGGAATCACAGAGGAAACAGAGGAAAAATTAATCACCATAACTCCATCAATATTCAAAGTAGTCCATGAAAAATTTATGTTGAAGGGTAAAGGGCAAATTGAACAAATAGCTAATTCGATAGCAATTTGAAGAATTCGATGACATGTAAATGCGATCCTCCAATCGTCAGCACTATTTGCATTCATAAACAACTAAATAATATTGATAATTTTTAAGAGATTCATTTCTTAAATTTCCTTTTCTCTCCATTTATCAAAATTTATCAAAATTATCAAAATTATAAATCATTCTTTTTATAGCAATTATATATATATATATGTTATTTTCAACAAAGAAAAAGAAAAGATTCCATGATTATACCAAAAAATAAATAAGAATAATGCTATTGAAAAAAATCGTCGTCATTATCATTCTTTTCATACTCGGATAAATGATGAAGTTTTAAAAATTGGTATCTTTTCGGCTCAGAAAATTTTTTTCTACAATGAAAATTTTTCAATTTTCAACTTTCATAATTTTCAACATATGCCTATTCATTTCAGTAAACTTTCTTCACTAAAAATGATAAAAAAGAAAATGATAGGTTTATTTTACCGACATTTATCAACGCGGTGAAAAATTTTTTACGAATTTTATCTTGATATCATTTATAGTTATAAACAAAAAGTTATAATATAATAAATTATAATATAATTTTGGCAGATTAATAAAAACATGGTATATATATAGTTTATTTTTAAAAAATTATAAAAAATAGCTATTAAAACGAAAATTAACTATACTCACCTGCACTTCATGAACATGAAATTTAATTACAAGCGCAAGTAAAACAATTGTACTGAGTAATGTACAAGTTTTTAAGGTAAAACTAAGCGATGAACCCTGTAAAAATTTTCTTTTTTTTTCTTAAATTAAAATTAAATTAAATTAAAAATTTAAGCGAATATTTTTCTCATAATCAAAATACAATTTTGGTATGAAATTTTAAAAATAAAAAAAAAAAGATTTTTTATAAAAATTTTGTAAATTTTAAATGAATTTTTTCGACAATTTTTTCAAATAATTATTGCTTATTTACTTTTTCGATAATATTTGCAGCGCTCAATTCATTTTCCACAATCATTAAAACTGAAATTTGATAAGTTTTCACATTTAATATATATACATTTCTCTCATAGCAAATATCTAATTATTGAGATTTTCAAATGAGAATCACTTCTATTTTTTATTAAGAAATTTATCACAATTATGCTGGGGAGCCGAAATTTTTGCGTCTCTAATGGATTGTAAAGAAATAAAAATTATTATTTATAAGGAAAAAAAAATTAGAACCACAATATTTAAAAAATTAAACAATAAATTAGCTGATAAGCCATAGTGCAATGAATTAAGCAAGTTAAGCAAAATCAAACATATTGTGATATTTGTCTTAATCAGATATCAAGTGCAGACAAATATAAATGTCTGGTTGAATTTATTCTACTCTCTATCAGGACGATTATAAATTCTTGCTAGAAAGTCCTTTGGGGATAGAAGTAAAGATAAACTGCCAGCATTTCGAGCTGGATTTCATGATAGTAGATTTATCTCTATACTGAAGGGACAACGATCATCGAATATGATGCTTGAATTGATAGACCATACTTTTTAGTTTTATCATATTAATTTAGCAAATCAAAAATGCATCTAAAGCATCGAAGTTCAGATTTTGTTATTGGATTTCATGATAATTTCCTGATAAAAATCATACTGATTCCAAGGATAGCAAAGAATAATGCGTAATCACTGGTTATACGTCTAACGAGATATAATTGCTGTCTTCTTATGAGTCGTCCACCACTACAATAATAGAATTTTTAAAATTTATGAGAAAATTTTAGAATTTTAAAAATGGAACTAAGCCATCAAAAAAATTTTTGATTAATTAGCCGTAAAAATTTATGTTTTTATGTTTTTATTATGTTTGTAAAGAGACAAACAAGGAACACAATAAGCTTATGGTGTAATAAATATGAATTTGTGTTTTTTTTCTGGAAACGCTCATCATTTTTGATTAGGCTTTCTTACTGGCTGGCTTGGACCACAAGTTCTGGTAGGCAACAGATATGGATCAACATCTAGATTTTTGAATGATAGGTTGTTTTATTCTTGCTTGGAATAAAACGTCTTAGCTTTGGTGCTTTAAAAAAAAAAAAAACAAGAGCAATTGTTATAATAAAAATAAATTCAAAAATAACACTATATATTTAATTGCAATCGATGAAATATATACCTTTTCTCTTTATCAAACATTAAAGGAGTTTGCGAATCGTCTTGACCATTGCCACTCCTCTGGGCCTCTAAATCTTCACTTAGTACCAATGATAAGGATTTTTTTGAGCCTCGATCATCTAAATTAACACATTTGAAAACTTGCTTAAATTATATTTAGGTTGATGATTATAAAAATAAAAATTTTATAAAATAAAAATATTAAATTATTTGAGTCATAAATTGTTGTTATTAAATCAAAATAATTATCAGGATTAAATCAAAATAAAAAACTTTTCATATTTCATAAAGAGAAAAAAAAATTTTCATGCGAAAATAAATTAATAGAATGAATTCAACAGCTTTTATATAGTGTAAAAGACAAATGAGTGATAAAATTTGATGAGCGAGTGATAAAAAATTTTGATAAGACTGAAATAAATTCAGTTGAAAAAAAAAACACAGAAATCAAGCAGAAATTTAAATCAAATTTTTCAAAAATTAAAATTAAAAGTCTAATGGATAAGAAAATAAATTTGTAAATTAAATTTTAAATTATTTATTTCAAAGAAAAATAAAGTTAATTTTCATAATGCATAATCCTTATCGAAGGTTTAGAATTTAATAATAGAATAATTTGCTTCCTTTGAGTTTGATTAATAATAATCTGATAAATGAAAAAATATTCCCAATTTTAAAATATGCATATTAAAAAATTTCTTTTCAGTCGAATAATGTTGATCGTTAAAGGAAAATTTTGAACTTACGATATTTTACCGGATGTTTGGACCAAATACGTTCGATAATTGCTCGCTCATACATATTGTTTGCTGTTAATGAAACAGAATATCTGTGTATGGGGGGATAATTGCTTGCTAAATTAGGAATATAGCCATTTTTACGTTGACGAGACGTTCTAAATTCTAATACATCGGAAAAATCAGACTTAGTTGTACATTGCGATAAATGTCGAAAACGAGTGTTCAATGATGATAGATCAAAATGTGGTGATAATGCCATTCCAATCAACTAGCACTGCTTCAAAATAGAATTAGAATTGACACCTAGGAAAAAATAAATTGAAAATGAAAAGAACGCACTAAAGGATAAGTCAAGATCGTTTCAAATCAATTGATTATCATTTTATCACTTATCATTTTCCATAAAATTTTTTTCGTCCATTCTTGGAAAAATAAAAAATAATTTTGATTAGATTACTCTTATTGGAATCATTTATTATGCAATTTCAATTGTCATTATTAATATTATAAAATGATATTATCTAAAGCCATGGATTATTTGCGAGACAAATATCTATGAAATATTAAATGAAATTCGAATGCACAATATAATGGGAAACGAAGGTTGCAAAGTTCCAAAACAAGTCCTAACATCGAACAATTATATAGCAATTTAATAAATATCCAAATTAATGCCATCAATCATAAAAAGTTATGGGCTAAAATAGAAAATACAAAAAATAGAAAAAAAAGATCTTGAAGAGAAAATGACATGAAAACTTGGAAAAACATTGCACAAATCCTAATAAATAAATGATAAACTGATAAAGTTATCAGAAATTTGTTTATACAAATGAAACTTGCAATTTTCAGCTCAATTTCTAATCCTTAGCTTTAAACGATGATAACTGTTCGGCTCAATTGCCATCATTTTTTGGTTTAATTTCAGTTAATTTTCAGAAAAAGAAGGGAGATTGAGTGGCTCAATATGTTATTGCTTTTTTTTTCGAGATATGTTTGATATGAGATCTGAGATATTTCGAGATGTTCAGATTTTATTTTCCGTTGGATTAAGCCTCTCTTTCCTGGGGGTTCCACTTAGCTACCTATTGCCAAATGGTTCGCTGACAAAGTTTGTTTGATTTGATAAACCAATCTAATCAGAACCTGGCCAGAAATCTAAGAAAATAAAAAGAATTCAATCCTTTAAGAAATGAATTTTGAACAAATTCCATAAACGAATGCCAGAATTGGCAGACAGGCCTGATCAATAATTGTTGTTTAATAAACGATTTAGGATTCTGATAGGATTTACTTCTGATCATATTAATCATTTGAGTAATCTTCAATGTAAAAGAACTTGAAAATTTCTTGAAAACTTGAAAACCAATTATTATAGTGATAAATGATGATAATGATGAAATTTTAGCATATGCTAAAAATACATATTATATTATATACTCTGATAAGATCCATTTCAAGATCCATAATATTTGTTAATTTCATCGCTTCCTAGCAATCAGTGAAAAATTTTTTTTTACAACCCTCACCTTCACTGGTTAGACTTTCTCTACTGTCTTATCGCACTAGGCAAATGTGCCAAGGAGTCTCTTAAGGATAGATTACAAGTGAGTTGCCAGCATCATCCGGATTTTTGGACAGGTTTATTCTTGTGGAGAACAGAACCTCAGTATTGGTACTCAGAATACCCACTGAGGCATTCTATTCCAAAAGGATTTATAGTACGGATTTTCGTTGGGAGCACGGCAATTCTTCTTCCAATATTCTCTTTCCTTTACAAAATATCCTTATCCTTATCTTCCTAAATATCCTTTACAAAAATTCTTTTTGCAAATCCGCTCCACTATCTTTTTTCTGATATAGATTTAACTTTCCTGTCACATGGGACTTTTATTTCTCATTAATAAAACTTATAAAATTTTGCGACCAGCGTTCTACTTCTTACTTTTCTCGTTGCGAACCTCAAACTCGGGTAATTAAATCTTTATTAGTAAAGACGCGAACATATGCAAGAAAATAAAGCGAACTAATTGCCCTACTAAAAAGAAATAAAAAAATCAAATATAAAATCTAAATGTCCATAATTGACATAATTAGCAAATTAAAATTTTTGCCCTAAAAATATCAACTAATACTAGCTAAGTGCAGTTAACCGCCTTCATTGCCAATATTATTAATTTATAATTAAAAACAGAGAGTATAATTAAAGTTCAAGGATAAATATATATTATAGCCAATTATTTATGTCAATTTTTCTATTCTCAATAAAACGCCTAAGGTGTCTAATACATTATCAAAAATAATTTTATAAGTTTTTACATTTAAAAAATTTACTTTTACAAAAAATATAATCACAATTTATTAATTTAATTTATTTAATTTATTAATAACATTATGATGATAATAATAAAATTTATAAAATTATAAAAATTTTTAAATATAAATTTTTTAAATTTTTTAAATATAAAATAAATACAAAATAAATTTTTTCATTTTGTATCTATTTTTTATTCATTTTTTAAAAAATTATTTATTTTATTATTATTACGATTTGTCAAAAATTTTGATAGTTAGTTTGATAGTTAGTTGCGCAAAAATATCTCAAAATATATTAATTTATGATTTAATTATAAAATAATTTATAATATTTATAATTTAAAATATAATAAAATTTTAAATATATTAAAATTTTCTAAAGATTTTTTAAAATAGCCTAAATAATTAGTGAAGAAAAATAATGGAACGACTGTGGAAGAATTTATTTGTAATCAATTTAAGCCTAAATATTCCCACTAAGGCATTTCATGGCGAATACTCAATATATAGTTCTTTTTGATAATTGAATAGAATATGGATCGCAAAATAAAAAGATGTATGATAGCTTAGCTTATTTCCTAATTCTACTTTGTCATAATTATTCGCAAATATTATAAATTTATCCATATTTTTGGCATTTTTGGAAATAATTTGAAACATTTGGCATTTTGATAATTGAAGAGATTTTATAACCACCAATATTTAGGATTTTTTTATGCAAAAATAAAATAGCAGAAAAACTTGATATGCTAGAAGAAAGCATATGTAAGGCAAAAATGCAGCAATTCATTGATAGGATATGTTGGTCTAAACTTGTAATAATCGAGAAAATTAGGAGTCTACAGTTTCCATATATTAATTCAGCCACAAAAATGGTGCGGAAAATACCAAAAATATTTTCCACCGTTTCTATCTAAGCTATATTCTTAAAAACTTTTTCAATTTTAGTTCCAATAATTCCGGAACATCTCTTACGTTTATCTCATCCGAACGTGAGCGATTTTCTATTCCATAAAGATGTGGGATCTGAGGAAAAAAGATATAAACGCGAGGATTACGATTCTTTCATGGGATGATAATTCTTGGGAAATACCGTTTGATGATCAGAACACAGATATTGACTGGTCTAATAGTCCATTAAATCCAATCAAACAATTAACTACGAAGAAAATTTTGCGGCAAAAAGGTAAAATTATTTTTCTTAGTTTTATTAATTCTTATTTCATTTTCGCATTCAATATAAATTGAATTAAGCAAATTTTTAAAGTAATTTTAGCTTTTTAAAATATAAAGTAATTTTAGAATAGAAATTTTAGAATGTTAAATTTTAGAATTGAAATTTTAGAAAGTAATTTTAGAATAGAAATTTTAGAATTTTAAAATATAAATTTTTAAAGTAATTTTAGCTTTTTAAAATATAAAATATATTTATTGATATTTTTACAAAAATAAAATTCACATACAGCCATAATTTTAATATTATCATATATTATTGATAACAATATTATCATATAATATCGATAGTATCACAAAGATCGTTAGCGCGAATCACGTTAAATCATACTTTTCATCAATTAAAAATTTATATATATTTATATTACAAAAATCAAAATCTAGGTTTTGATGCAATTAGGAGAGATTTTAAAATGCGATATAATGATATGGTCGAAAAAAAAAGGGATGATAGAATTGCCTTTAAACCCCTTTTTTCGACTGAAAAAATAAATGAAGATCCTCCTTTTGAACTAAATTATGCTTTTTTCTTCATGCATGGTCGTAAATCTTTTTTTTTTGGTTTTTCAAGGTTATTAAGCAATTTCATAAAGCAAATCCATGATTCTTTTATTTTATGAATTTATACAATAATAAAACAATACGCATATATTTTTTGATTCATATCTATTCAATATGGAAATTTAAAAAATAAGAAAAAAATTGAATAGAATTAATAGAAATGAAGTTATAAAAGAGTATTCCTATGAATAGACAAAACCCTGTCCCATTTCAAACTCTTGTCGTATCCGTTCGTAATCAGCGAAAGCTCACTTAATATTCCATTCTGCCTTCCATCATCTTCTCTCAACGTCCATATCACTTCGAAATTTCCCATTATACTCCCTCAAATGTCACCATTTTGGTGCCATATTTGCAGTTTTTTTCAGCTTTCACAAAAGTGGAATACGAACATAATAGAATCTTAAGCGATAATAATAAAAAGTTGAGCAACTGCAAGTGTGTATGACGAGGTTAAAAAGGTTTTATCTACTGGTAAATTAAGGCAAATTAGCATAATAAAAAAGGATTTGAGGAATTTTTTTACAAAAATATCAATTTTTTGCTGGGAATTATAAAATAATTCAACGATTCATGAATATCTATTTAAAATCGCAAATATTTTATATATTTTCTTTTGGTGACAAACACATACACATACACACATACACACACACACACACACACTCATGCATATATCATTCTATCAAAGTATCGAAAAATGAGTATCATTTATATTTATAATTAAACAAATTTTAAGATGGGTAAACAAAGACAACGACTAAATGAAATATTATATGATCGTAATAATGAAAAAAAAAAAACGAAAAAAAAAGGTGAACATAAGAGGAAATTTATTTTGATTATTTCGAATTTTCTTATTAAATGGAATTAATCCATGAGGACAAAGAAAAGAAAACTACGATTCGTCGTTGATAGAGGAAAATCTCAATCTTCAATAATGAAGGAGGAAAAAAAAAAAAGGAAAAAAGCGTTATTTAATTATATTCGTAAAATCTAATAAAATTTATTATCGTTTCTTTAAGAAAATGGATCATTATTCAATTTTCATTTTTCAGTTTTTCTTTTTTATTTTTCTGCTAAATTAAACAATAAAAAATTCCTGTAAAAGAATAAATTAAATCCAACTTTTGCTCATAAAAAAAAAAACTTTTTTTTTTTCAATTTTTCAATAAAAATTTATTATAATCATTATTGAATTTTAAGCTAAATTTCGAAAGAAAATGATTTTAAAGGATTTTGAAGATTTGATCAAAAAAAAAATTCTGCAATGATTTTTTTTAATTTAATAATATATCTATAACCATAGAAAAATTGGTTTTTTTTTTAATGCAGAAAAGCAAAAATCTTTGTTATGAACCCATTTAAGAAACAAATTTAAATTAAGTACCAATAGTCAACAAATTATTGCAATTTCAGGATTTTTTGTTCAGGCATCAACAAAATCCAACATTTTTCTATGATTTGACTCTTAATCGTAGATTTTCCAAGGATTTTTGAAATTGTCAAAACAAGTCGAATTTTCGACGCGAAAATTTTAATTTATCATTTTTCTGATGAATCCATCTAAAATTTCTAACTTCTATCATTAATGAATAATTAACTAAATTGACGAACGTCTGAGGTTTTTTTTGCCTTTTTAGCTAATTTTTCTTTTTTAGTTAATAAATTTTAATTCGTTACTTACGATATTTGCATCATTAAAATTAAAATAAAAAAAAAGAAATTTATAAATGATAATTAATGAAAAATGAATGAAACCAAAATAAATTTATGTGATATAATAACTAAATACTTCGCGCATTAGTAACGAAAAAGATAAAATTTTGCAAATTATTTTTAAATTTTTTAATTAAATTTTTTATTAGTTTAATTATTAAAAATTTTAATAATAAAATAAATAAACTACTTTTTCTTTAATTTTGCTTTCGAAAAAATTCTAATTCTAATAATTCTAATTCTAATTAAATAAATAAAATAATTTATTTCAATATTTTTGTGAAATTTAGCGTTCAAAAATCATTTCAGCGATTATTAATTTCTTATCTTTCCATTTTTTAAGCGAGAATAAAATCTTGTTAATCAGTATGATAATAAATTACTTTTTTAAATTAGAAAAATTTAGTTTAAAAAAACTTAACATATTTTTCGCGACAAATTCTTCTTTTTCATTTATTTCAAGGAAACAATTTTGAAAAAAAATATTTTTATAATATTTAAAATATTGAACTAATGAAATAATCTATTCCTATGATTCTTTCTCCAGAAATTTACAAAATTTTTCAAAAATTTTTATGATTTCATTGATGCATTTTGAAAAGAAAAATAAAAATAAGAACGATTTAATAATGAATTTATTAAGAAAGTTTTTTTATAAAAAAAAACGAAGCAATTTAAAACTTTTCTTAGAGAAATTTCAATAAAAAAATCTCATAAATTGTTATTTAAAATAACAATCCACATAAATCTATAAAATAAATATCATGAAAATAAATTAAAAAAATATTTCATGAAATGTTTATGAAAACTTTTTGCGATAATTATTTATGAGAGAAACCTTGGTAACCGAAAAAAAAAAATTAAAATTAAAATGCGATAAATTAATAATAAAAAAAAAAAATAAAAATAAGGAAATAACCATCACAGTGAATTTAATTAAGAAAATACTTATGAATAACGATGATATTCAAAATTTTTTCATAAAAATTGAAATTTAAGGAAAAACTATTCTTTCTAATAACAAATTCTTAATCGGCAAATAGCGATAGCAAAAAAAAGCTAATTTTGAAATTATATTTTTCATTCTAAATATTTATTGGAAATAAAGGAGCAGAAAACAATGAAAAAAAATAAAAAATTTAAAAAATTTTAAAAGTTAAAAATAGTGATAAATAATAATTTGAAAAATTTTAATATGATAATTTACTCGAATTTTATTTTATTCTATTCATTTATTTTATCATATAAGCGTATTTCTAGAAAATTTCAGCGATCATGCAAATTATCGTGCAAATACAATTTAAAAAAATCGAAAAAATGAAACAATTTACAGAAAATCCTCGACGATATAAGATAAAATTTTTTTTTTCATGATTATTATCAAGATTTTTCAATTGTTATTTATGAGTGCTATTTCAATTTTTAAATTAAATTAACAAAATTCACATATTCGCTTTTTTGTTTTGTTCTTAGATTTGCATTAGTGGATGATTGACTTCATTGATGGATGATCCATCAAGAGTTTCCTTCAAGAATTTTTAACTTAGTGTTAAATAAAATCTTTCATCGTAAATTTTTCAACAATGATAATTTTGTATAATTAGGAGAGTTTCAAGCATTTCCTTAAGAAACAACATGCCCAAAACTAATCTATTCAAATAATAAATCAGCCAGAAGTTAAGCAACAAAATAATTAATAGTTTGGTTTAAGTCTGGTGCACGTGGTGCATCAACTGAACCAAAAAAATCGAAAAAAATTCAGCAAAATGAATGATAAAAAATGAAAAACAAAAGAAACAAAACGCCATGTTCGAAACACGAAACAATAATTTTATATTTATGAACCAAAACTTAAAACGTTAATTTTATATGCAAAGAGTCGCTTGTATACTTGTATATTTTATTCCTTCGGGAAGCATCTCAAAACTTCAAAAAAATATTGATAAAGGCATGAATCGAGCAAGCTAAGCGCATGCAAAGTAAACTATCGAAAGGTATGCAACCAGATGATGAAGTGATAACATGGTGAAAAATTAATAGTTTTTGTGAATTTTTTGTTCTTTTTTTTAAGATCATCATTACTGGTTAAACTTGCTCCTGGCTTGCCGCACTAGACAAATATGCCAGGCAGTACCTTTGGCGATAGAAATGCAGATGAATTACCAGCATCACCCGGATTTTATACAGGTTTACTCCTGCGGGAAATCGAACCTCAGCATCGGCGCTCTCAACTGAGTAACAACCAACTGAGCCATTCTATCCGCAGTTTTTTTGATTAGCTTTCAATATTTAAAAATCTTTAATACGGAATATTTATTTACTTACACATTTTAAAGAAAGTGATTTATATGTAAGTATACTTCATTAACCAATCATTCGATAGCTTTACCTCCATTCCAATATATTTTGTTCAAAATCTACCTTATATAAAAATTATATTATAGAAAATACCTTCAATAGCAAGAGCAGGTGCCTCACTGGCCAATTTTGTTCCACTACCTTTCCAACGATTAATATCATACGTATGATGTAAGGTGTTTGATTGTTTCTTTAAACTAGCAACTCGACACAAATGTGTGGACGAGGAACTCTTTAGACCCGCAGCTGGTGAATTATAAGATGTGAGAAGTGACTTGAACGGTGTAATGCCACCATTGACGAGCATTAAATTCACCGAAATCTTAAAAAAAGAAATGAGATGAACTAAAGATTTAAGAGATAATTTAGAAGCATATGATGATTGATATGATGATTGATGCATTAAACATTTTGAATGAAATAAATGATATGAAAAATTAAAATTTTAACTTAATATTTTATCTTTCCTTGAGTAATCTTAATTTAAGATCAAAAATGATTCATAGAAGGAAATTACTCATTTAAGATTTTTCATTTTAGTTGTACTTATAAGGAAATTCCTCTTACTTGTCCGACATCTCCATTTGAATCAAAAGAAGATTGTGGTGAACGTCCACCAAAAGGTGGAGGGCGAGTACGGCCTCCGGAAGAACCACCTGTAATCATCGTAAAACAAATTAAATATTTTAATAAGGCTCTCTTAAAAGTTTACTCTAATAGGAATAGTTTAAGAGAGTATTTTAAAAAAATTATCTCATTGATTTAATTCTAAAATTTATTAGCTAAATTTTGATTCTTTTAGCAATTCGAGATATTTTTCAATAAATTGGATTCGCAAAAAAATTGAATGCTTTTTCTTATCAATTATCTGAACAATTCTAAACAATTATATACTTTTCTCATCTGAACAATAAATAATAAGTTAGAATGATATGATTGTTAATATAAGAATTTTGTCGAAAATTGCTGATATCAAGTGATGTTTGCTATTGGGAAAAATAAAGCTATTTAGTGATATATTGCATGGAAAAAGCCAACTTCAATTCCTTTTTGATGAAAGTGAATTTATTGTTAGAAGTTGAAATTCAGGATGGTGCACGGTACATATTTTAAATCATTATCTAACGAGTGAATGAAACCTATCAAATTGACAAAATGATGGATTATATATGAAAATTTAAAATTTTTTATTAAATTTTCTTAGGTGAAAAAAAAATGCACAAATTTACTCATAACGAGCATTCTTCTTAAGAGTCCTCACTATTACTGGTTAAACTCGCTCCACTGGCTTGTCGCATTGAGCAATATGCCAAGGAGAACCTTGGCGATAGAAGTACAGATGAGCCGCCAGCATCACCCTCATTTTTGCACAGGTTTGCTCCTGCGGGGAATCGAACAGCAGTTTTGGCTGCTCCAAATTGAGCAACAACCCACTGAGCCATCCTGGGTACTTATAACGAGCATATATTATATTATAGTAGTTTTCCTTTCAAATTATACTTTGTTAATTCAATTTAAAAATTCAAAATTTAACTTTAAATTCATATTTATTTATATCATTTTTGTATTTTAAATTTATATTTTAGAATATATTCTAAGCTTTAAATTAGATTAAAATTTAATACAAATTTATGAATTTCCTAAATCATTTTTGAGCTAACAAAATATAATCTTTTTCCTGAAGGATTTTCTTTTATCATATTTTTTTTCAATTTTTTATTAGAGAATATTGCATTTAATAATTTAGCTTTTTAAAATATATTTCTTGATATTTTTACAAAAATAAAATTATGATCTTCAAGGAAACTTATTGCAAATTAGTTCAATTCAAGGATTTTTAATAACAAAAAAATTTTTCTCGATACTTTTCACCGTAATTCAACAAAATTTTTATAATTTACCCTATTGAATTATTTATAAAAAGGTTATAGAATCAGGTTATGGAAAGAAAATAACATAGCGCATAGTTGCTTGAATATTTTATTAAAAAATGCAAGAGTTTTCCGCTTTCCGACAAGAATAAACCTTAAAAAACCTAATGGTACTTACACAGCCTACTAGTTTAAGATTTTAAATCTTACTAATGGTAACCATTAATGATAAGCTAGTAATGATATCATTTTTAAAGGATTCTCAGTCTCAGCGACAGTAATTGATGTCACTGGAAATTGTCTATTTAAAACCACTTAGTTCTTCTTCTTCTAACACCTCATACCATTGCTGGTTAGGCTAGCTCCGCTGGCTACAAGAGTAAGACGTCTCCAAGCTGGCCGGTCTGACGCCATCGCTAGTAGTAATAGAAACTATTCCTTTTTCCATCGTCTAAGTCCATATATCGCTGGTCTCCCTATATGACTTAGTTTGTCCACTTAATTCAAATAGTTTAGAAATGAAAAGTTAAAATTAATTCAATTCTATGATTTTCAATTTTATTTATCGACTAAATTTTGATATGATAAAAATGAATCGTTTAGGTGAAGCTTGCCTGGACTAAGAAGTTTTTTACCTTGTTCAGCATTCATAATAATTGCCGGAATCGAATATTAAATAAATTAACTGAAATGTTTGGTAGTGAATAAAGACAGGTGATAAAGTAAAAGAAATTAGAAAATTTTCATGATCGACTTGATTAATTGAAAAAAAAATGGAAGAAAAAAGAAATATACAAAAAATAATAATTTCTTCATTGTTTTTTTTCAAAAATTTTCAAAAACTATGGAAATTTTATAAACTTCTATAATTTTAATTAATAGTTTCATGCTGAGAATAAAAAATGAGATAGCGATTGAACTGAATGATTCAATGAGTTCATTTTTGAAAAAATGAATTCTTTTTTTTGAGATTTCGTATAAAAAGAGGTATTATGCAAACCAGCAAACCAGAAAAGGCTATTATTTAAATCAAGTGAAACCTAGCGATTTACTCGTATTTCAACTTTTAGATTTGGTTTAAATTTGTGATAAAATTTATCCGATCTGATAAGCGGAATGAACCTAACGAAAACGGAAATGAGCGAAACGCTTTTTGGAAAACGAATAAAATAGTTCATTCATAACGAACGCATTTTATTGTGATGATTAAAATAAACGTTTCGATGAATTCTTAATTTTTTATAAAAAATAATAAAATTTATGGAGATAAGGAGACTTATTGTGCATTGTGCGAAGAATGAATGTGCTTCTTTTCTTATTTCGTTATAAGTCAATTATTTCGAATATTTTCGAAAGTGCTATTCACCATTTCTATTGATCATTATTTTTTTTGTGTTAATCATCATTTTATTTCAATAAATCTCATTTTTTATTTTGAAAATAGAATAAATAAAATTAAAATATGAAGTCAGGCTGAATTGTCGAGAAGAGAAAGATTAGGCTTTTGCTCTTGATAAAAGCAATAGCCAGAAGTGATAAGAGATAATCACTTTTGCTCTTGATGAAAGCAATAGCCAGAAGTGATATAAGAGCTAATCAGTTATTCTTTCTAATTACATCATTGAAAAATTCATATTTCAAGAAATGGTCAAATTTGTTGCGAAGGATTTATGTATATAATATATGTAAAGCCCTATAAGGCCTATTAATAATCCAATAATCCATCGAGATACTTTCTCACTATAAAAGAGTCTCTGTCTCTCTTCTCCCTTCTAAATTCGATCATTCGCTTGACCATGGAGTATTGCACAAATATCTTGCAGATTGATAAATAAAGAAATATTTATAAAAGAATTTCTTAGAACACCGTCTTAGGACAGGTGAAAACTGAAAATTTTATACTGAAAATATTTCAACATATTTTATAATTCATTTTTTTTTTTAGTGAAAACATAATAAATAAAGGAATTTACACAAAATGGATTTCTTTTATGGAAATGAAATTATTGATTTGACAATACGAAGAAGTGGCGAAAAAAAAGGTAAAATTGTACAATCGCTATAATATTGGCTGATAAAATTAGAAGTATCTATTTTGCGAGAAAAATCCTCAGGAAGTGAAAAGATTGAAGTGGTTTTAATAATCTTTTTGCAGTTTGGTGATTACATGGTACATTAAAGATTGCAAGAAGTGTTCACAGTCACCGTAGGTGTCTATGACAAACTATTAAAAAAATTCGCAATTGATCAGAATTTTAGCAACTCGACTATATCAAAGACTCCCTTGGTGATAGAAATATCAGTGAGTCGCCAGCATCACCTGCATTTTTAGACAGATTTATTCCTGTAGGGAACAGAACCTTAGTATCGACGCTCCGAATTGAGCAACAAGCCACTAAACCATTCTATCCATTTCTGTTGACTAGTAAAGCATCAATTCAAAAAGTCGAATCATCCAGCAATTTTTTTCTCAGTAAATTTAGCAATTTTAGATTCGAAAATATGAATTCAAATTTCCTTTAAAAAAAGTAATTTTTTAAATTTGAATTTGAAATTGTGAAAATATTTAGTTGCTTATCTAATTTTTCGACTAATATTAGACATATTTTTATTTATGCAATATTCTCATTCAATTATCAGTAACTAAGAAAAAAATTGAGCCGTCTTTTATCAAATTTAGCAAAAAATTATGCTATTTCAATAATTGAATAAAAGAAATAAAGAAATAACGAGTTTAGAACTTATGAAATTCTTCGAGCATCGACGATAACAATGCTTTCCTTAGCCTAACTGAACCATTCTCGAATCACCATCGTGAAATCAGTGTCAGAAATGAAAAGTGAAATGAAGTTCAGTATTTAGTAGCAATATACTAAGCCTCTCTGAATGATTCCAATATATGAATGATAAGATTGGAAAAAATCAAAAAAATGCACCATTAACAATTTTTTCCTATGGACTAATTGAATTTTCAGAAACTAAATATGATTGTAAACATTGTACCTTAGTCACCATACTGTATTTGCATTAAGTATATCACCATGTTCGTTATGACTCGTTTCCGTTACTACCAAATATGATCGAGAAAAGCCTTATCCTATAACTAGTGAAACCGTTCTGATAAGAAATGGTGCGAGCCAACCATATGGCATGTTTAAAAAAAAAAAATGAAGAGATCAGTTTTTCTTAGTTACAATGCTAGAATTTCCAGAGAATTTGGAAAAAATCTTAATTTTCATAGCCAAAAATTTCAACAATTAGCTAAATCGATTAGATTGACCTGCAAAAATTATTAAATTATTTTTATTTTTTTATTTTTATTTTATTATATTTATATTTATTTATATTTTTTTATTTATTTTCACTGTGAAATTATTTTTTAGCAAAACAGCAACACAAAAATCATTGGCTTTTTTGGCTTTTTTCAATATAATTACTTTTGCTATTTATGATTTGGAGATTTGTGTTATTAAAAATTTAAATTTTTAATATATCGAAAATTTTAGCGACTAATTACCACTGAAAATTTTAAATGAACTAATAGTTTTAAGAAAAATATTCCATTTCATAAAAATATGAAATGGAATATTTCATTTAATTTTCAACTAATGCGGTCAATTTAAACAATTTAGGAAAATAAAAAAAAAAATGTTTATATTGGAATTACAAAAAAAGAACATTCCATGAAATTTTTCCATAGCTCCTCTAATGGAATATTTATCGAACTTTCTAAATTATTACGAACTCGATTACGATATAATTTCAAGGAAAAAAAAGAAAAATAAAAATAAAATT